CAACAGACGCGCACACAGGCCTCTACAGGAGTTACTGAGGAGCTGGGGGCCTGTGTGTGCTGCTGCATGGCAGCCAGAGCCTGCAGTCAGGGAGAGCCACCCATGCCAAGTCTGGGGACAGAGCCAGGGTGGCCAGCAACCCCATGGAGCACAGTGCATGTGGCCTTTTGGCTAAGGGCAAGAAAGATGGGGCATCTGAACCCCAAGGCCTCTGGGCCTGGGACTTGCACCTTGGACTCCTGCTTGGATTTGGGAAATATCCAAAGCCCCAGACCAGGGGTAGACAACCCCTGGCATGGGTGCCAGAGCACACGAAGGTATTTTGCTTGGCATGCGCACCCTGGGGCAGGTGGCAGGGAAGAGGCCGGGCCTGTGCTGCCACAACAAGGATCGGGCCCTTGCCGCCACCCCCACATCTTACAGGTGGATATTGTGGGTGACGTTTTGGCTCCCTGCTCAAAAACGTTGCCGCCACCTGCCCCAGATGGATGGGTCTGGGAGTGAGGATGTTTGCCTGGTGGTCATGTGCCCCTCAAGCAACCAGTGACTGGAAGGGTTTCCCCCCAGGGCCAGTCTTGCTGACTGGGTGTGGGGGTCCCCCCAGCAGCTAATCGTGCTGACTGGGAAGCTGCTGCGCTGCTCCCGGAAGTGGTCTCAGCACTTCATCCAGGCGCTTGCACTCCCTGGCCAGCACTGGCAGGGGGACCACTGGCACTCCTGCCTGCCCCCCGCCCATTGTCTAGCAAGGACCATGGCCTGTCTGGGGGTGCACCAGCACTCTCAAGGGGTGCACTCCCTACGCGTCACCCCTGCAGGTGGTACAGTCACTAGGGTGGCCATCATAGAGGGCATTCTGGTTTTCTGCTACTCTGTCCTCTATTGATACGAAACCGGACACATTAACTTTATATCCTCTATTTATAAAACTAGAGGACATAAAAGCATCAGGTTTCTATCAGTAGAGGACAGAGAACAACCCGACTGTCCCCTATGATGGCCACCATAACAGCCACGCAGGCTCGAGGGCCGTGTTCTGCTCAGTCGGATTTAGGAACTTGTCCATTGGGCTGGAACTGCCTGGGCCTTGAGGAAGCGGAAAAGAGAAAGAAAGAGTGCTACAATGGTTGAAAACAGAAGAAAGTGCGCCAGGGGAGCGGGCAAGCCCATCTAGTCAGAGGACAAGGCTTGGGCCGGTGAAAGCCCCCCCCGTGCCCAAGGCGCAGGTCCGCCGCTCGCGGGTTTCCGAGGGGCGGGGAGCCCGGGCCGGGGCGTGGCGGCAGCGCCGGGAAGGGTGGAGGAAGCCCGGCGCCGGGGGCATGGCCTATCTCGCCCGAGGCCCGCCCAGGCGGCGCTGTTTGCTCCCG